TTTGTGGTGGTGTTTTCTGGAATTTCAAGGCTGACATCCTGCAACGGTGAGGGTGGTAGGTGTTAAAATGGTGATAGGTGAGGAGGCTGCTGTGGCTGTTGGCACACGAATCCCAGGTAAGTTGCCTGTTGCTTCTTCGAACCTTCACCGCCCGCATGAAGGGACGATGGAAAATCAGAAAACAAAGGGACCAGAGGAGAGGGAAAGGTAACTGAATTGCATAAATAATAATAAAAAAAATCAAAAAATGACAACAATTTGAAAATTAAATAAAATAAAATAATAAATAACCTCATCTTGTCTTCTTACCAGGGGATGCTAACTTGAGGAGCAGAAATATTACTTTTTCTCAGCAATAAAAGATTAGTACTGAATCAATTTCTAATCTCTTTCTGGCTTTAGGAGCTAAGGTTGTAAACCTTCCTAGAAAATACTGACATTTTATATGACTACTAATTGAAGGTTAGTAAGTGCATTCATTTACATTAAAAAATAAAATCAGATACTATACATCACACTGCCTACAATGGAGATGTTTATATTTCAGTTTACTCCACTGACATTTTAATTTTGCCAGCATTTATTGCTGGCGTTATACTATTCTGTGCAATAAACTACTCTGCACCAGCAGCAGAAAAACTCTATCTTGAAGCCTGATTAATAAAGACAAAGCAAAAATTTAGCATTCCTATTTATTATTTTGATGTGCAATTTCAAGTTTTTTAAAACAATCGTTTTCTGGATAAAACTTGAGACCATATTTGATTGCTAATCCTAAGTAGGTAAAGTCTGGAATATGTCAAAAGTGAAGGCCAGTATTTACCAAGAAAATGGAAAGTATTTCAGTTGTTGTGTCAAATATTAAGGGAAATTGATGGAAGTCACCCTTCATTAAATACAGTCTAGTCATCATTAAATTCAGCGTATAGCCTTGTCCTTGCTGAACATAGCAGCACGCAACAAGCTGGGAACTAGTCACTCAATTTTAGTATTAAAAACGTGAGGGATTCACCTGTACTATCAAACATTTTTTAGCTTACTAAAAGATAATTTGCTACTTTTTTTACACAGTTCACTGCTTTTGGCCCATGAGTAGCATTATCTATTTATTCTCCCTATCCTACCCGTGATGGCTGTGGGCACGGAATGAGCACGTGCCACTCTTGAACAGTAGCTGGAAATCTGGTAGGTTGGGTTAGACCTGCCTCACGTTCATGTCTTACCCCATGAGACAAAAGAAGGTGGAAAACCGGGGTCACTGCACCAAGCACTACTTAGTGCCAGAAGAAAAACTGTAATTTTACTTCTTTTCATTTTACAGAGGGAAGGGGAAAGATGAGGAGAACGCTGCAAGGGCCCCCAGTGCCTTGGCAGCCCGCTGCCTCCCCACTGCTGCCCCGGCCCTGCTCGCCAGCCCCGCCGCCCCCTCCTGCACCGCAGTCACCCCCGCTGCCCTTTAAATCAAATGAATTATTATTATTCTTTTTTTCTCAAACACTTCAGAAACCAGGTGAGGGTCACCCACATGGGAATGGCGATGTGCAACACTGGCACAGCACGCAAGTATCTGAACCTCTCACTTAACAGACACCAGCACGAGTGACCTCAAAGACTTAAAATCTTATCCATCAATCTAGACTATGGAGCCAGAAAAAAAAAACAGAAATAAAAAAAGTAGGAACCTGATATGGCAATATATATTTTGCAGACTTATCACATCTTTTCAAATGAAACGCTCCCTTTGCTTACATACACAGACAGCAAGACTTCTGAACATTGACTATGGTGTAAAAATTAAAATCTGATAAGAATAATGTGGCCAGGTGGATTTTCATTATTTTCTGGTTGCTATGAGCACTGTTTAATTAGAAAGACTGCTTCCAGCAGGAAATTATCTGGTAGCCTTTGATTTTTTTAATGTTTTATTTTCACACTGAAGGCAGGGAAAAAAATGTCCTACAAAGTAGAAATTTTCACAAATTCAGTTTGCTCAGCTTGTAGAAGAATAATCCCAATTCAACAAAAGTTCTCTAAAAGAAAATCCTATCATGTGTAACAGTAGTAATTTACTGGCAATTTGAGCTATTCCAACCCAGAATCGTGTACAGCAAACATAAAATTAATGGGCTAGCAAGAGAAATGGATGACAGCAGTACAGTGTAAGGAAAAAAAAAACATGGAAAAAAAGGATCTTTTATAGCGCTCTCCATTTTATTTTAGGGCTTAAATTCCTATTTCTTCTATGTAGCGACTTTCCTGCCCATTTTCAATTCGTAACATGTTCCAGGAAGACCAATAACTGAGCTTAAGAGATACAGCCTTAATGACTCATTCAGAGCTTTTCAAATTTTGTAGCATACAGACCATATGACACCTGATGAAGGGTTGTTTCCAAGAGTACACTTGCCTCAATAAAGCATGTTACATCTTGAATTGGTCATGATTTTTGAGCAGCACCATCTGGTAAGGTGCTGGGAAGGGCTGTAAACATTCCAGTTATTATGGCATACTTAAGAAAGCAGCTTTATTGCCTTCAGGAGATTTTTCCCCAAAAGATGCACTTATGTAGTTTTCACAGAATTCCATTGATGTTATTTTATAACAGCCAATTCCCCACGCCACCATGGCAAGAGCATTGGTTTATCAAAGCATCTATACTGGGTGAATGTGACTAGCATATTAACAGCATCAATTTGGTTTATATTTTGGTTAAGAAGGAAAACTGCTTGAAATAACACAATCATTTACATGAGAAAACTTTGGCCTTGCTACTCATCTTCCCAATAGAAACACTCTTCAAAAGTTATTTCATCAACCAAAAGTTAATTGTGTGATATCTTTTCTTCACAAAAATGAAACATCTGTTTGCAACATACTGACACAGCTAAAAAGTATGGAAATATATTGAAAATTTTGATCTCCATCTCATGCTACTTCTGCAGTATCACTCCTTGCTCTGTCTCCCCTCTAAACAGCTTACGCAGAAACACGAAAGAGGCTCAGCTGAAGAACATGGTATCTTAAAAGTTACTCTTCATTCACTGTCATCTTCTCAGCCAAGAGGTCAATATTCCCCACTCTGACAAACTGATTAGAGCAAAGCTCAGTTACACATCCAGGGACAGCCTGCATCTTAGCTACATGTCCAAGAACATTTTTTATCCCTCAAGTTTCTAGGCCTCTGAAATCTTGTCTTGGTCTCAAGGAGGCAAGATCACAGTATCACAGGCCTATGAAAACGCACCACTGGCTCATGCTGCAACATAGATAACATCTGTCCTGTACATCTTTGATTACCTTTGTTATTTCTTTGCCATTCATCACCACAGGAGATTTTAGATGGAATTTTTGAATACTTTAAATTAGCCACCTTTTCAGGATTATTTACAAAACAAGACAGGCAGCCCCCATCTTCAAATATTAAGACATTCTCTTCAAGCATGTTGTTATGAAATAAAGAAATAACACAGTGCAAAAGGGCAGGGATCCAGGGAACTGGCCCCGAAAAACCTTTTTCATAAGCGCTGACAATGAACCCATAAAGCACTCTGGAAAGCATTTTAGAAGATGATGGCAATAAATAATAAAGCCGTTGGCAGGAGAAAATAAAGTTTTGTTAAAGTATTGTAAGAGAAAACAGGTGTATTACTGATGCGGTCATAATAGACTATCAAGTGAATATGCTTAAAAGTTAGTAGTGTCCCTTCCTCCTCCCTTCTAAGGTTAAGAAGGAAATCAGAGAATCATTTACTGAAGTACCTGGCTGTCCCCCAATGACTGCAACACCAGAACCAACAGGTGTCTTTATGTACATCTACAAGTGTGCAGAGCTGTTTCTCAGTAAAACCTTTCCCTCTTTATCCGCAGGAATCTCTGAGGTTGCATTAAGGCCAACAAAACCCTGAGCTTCTCAATGCTTTCAGAAGCGTAACCCGGGGAGCTGAAACAACCTTTACAGATAGAACTGCCATGATATCAGTTTTCTAGGCCATTGAACAAGGCAGGCAGAGCAAAAGAGAGAAAAAGAAAGTAGAATTTGGTGCCACAGATCTTACCGTGTTCTGGTCCCTTCAGTGCTAGACGTGTCTGGTGGTGAGGCAGGATCTCAAGTTTGACATTATCCGCTGCATTAGCCAAGAACTGCGTTGCTTCTGCCAACGTACAGTACTCCATGCTGGTGCCATCAATAGACAGAATATGGTCTCCTACATGTAATGCACCACATCTGTATAAAAGAGGAAAAACTCAGTATGATCAGGCACGCTCTTTGCTTAGAAAACAAGTTTTACTGCCTTCAAACGGGTCATGACAACAATGAGCTTGTTCTTTTTGCGAGAGAGAGATTTGTGTTTTGTAAGCATTGTCACTGGTCAGGCTTTAATTCTATTAGTACCAACCTTAAAAATAATTCAGTTAATACACCATATGTGAAGACATCACTCACAGAACTGGAATGGGATAGCTGACTACCAAAATATATGCGAATGGCAGCAGAATAAAATGAGAAGAGCTTAAGGAGACTCAAATAACTTGGTCACGTACCCCTCACACAAGCACCCAGTTCATCATTTTTTGAGTTATTTATAGTTCAAACATTTATTAGTACAAAAGCTGTAAATGATGATGAAATTATGCAGTAGTCAAACAAATAATGAAACCAGGGCTAGCATGGTGACTTGAGGAGTGGGGTGGGGAGGGGGCTATCTGCTAAATCTTGCTGCACTCAAGAGACTGGCTACTGGATGAGTTGAGAAATGCAAACACAGCAGTCAGCATCCCGACGTACCAGTCAAGTGGACAGCTCCTTTAATTGGTTACCCCCTGCGAAACGGGAAAAAACAGAGGGAGAAAATTAAAGCATCCTGCACCATTGAACTGGAGAACACCCCTGGATCAATGGCCGTCACTCTCAAAGGTTCTACTTTAGGGAAAAGCCCACAGAGGAGCTGTAGACTCACTGCTACAAGTGGGTGCTTCCAAAAGCACCATTGCCAAAGAGGAGTTACAAGGTAGGGTGCCTGGGGACATGCAGGAGAAATTTGCTGCTGAAATATAACATTAAAGGAAATTTTTAGATAGAGATGTGTATACAGATATATATTTCATATGTATATACACATAAAAACACACACACGCACGCACCCCAGAAAAGATCCCACAGCTCTGGTACAGAGGTTTAGACCTTCAGGGAAAAATATTTAACATTTTTTTCCCTCAATTTTAAATATAATCCGATCTTAATACAGTAGAAGGAAGTTCAAATGGAGTTGAAAAGGGAATTTTCCTTATCAAGTACTGCAAAATCACTTCAAAATACAGAAGACACTCTTCCTAATACCTCAGTGATATTCTAAAATATTAATAAAAATCCAAATACAAGGAGTTCCATTTCTCTGCGCCACAAGAATGAACGACGTATCCTAAAAGAACACTTCAAGGTTGAAAAGCCTCAAGATTTACTTCCCTTGACAGCTGTTCCATATTGTGGGCTTACTTTAAGAATTCCAGCGGGGTATTATTTTTTTTAATACTAATCTCTGCTGGAGCATTACATTTAATAGTCAGAGCAGACCTCTAAGTTTCTGAGTTGCATAGTGCAAACAGACAGACACTTATTACGCTGGGGCTGCCTTATATAATTGAACAGTACGTGAATAAGCGAAAGCAAATGGTGCCCTGGAATCCTTTAACTCTGCAGTCTGGAACAACGATTCAACAAAGTGCTAATTTTAAGACCTAGCAACCTTGAGCGCGTCTGGTTTAGTCAAACTCATCTAAAAAGTAAAGGGAAGAGTTTCTTTAAAACCAAACCAAACAAAAAATAGAAATAAAATGGATGTGTGGAGCTGAAGTGTCAGCCTTCTGTCGCACTCACCTGTCTGCAATGCTGGCAGATTTGATTTTGTCTATGACAATGACCTGTTTGTTGCAGCACATCGAGGTAGTTAGTGCAACCCCAAGAGCAGCACCAGGAGTCTTGGCAACTTCAACGAGCAGTGGCCCAGATGCTGTTGCTACTGAATCTGTTAAAATTAGACAACAAAAAATCAGTATTATACCAATGTGGTATTTATGCACTTTTCATATTTTCCCACATAAAATCTCCACGGGTCTTCTTTTTCTCCAGCCAGACGACATGCCACATAAAGAAATTCTAGGATGGCATCAGTTTAGGTCTCCAGCATTAACTCTTAAAGGTGAAACAGATAAAAGCAAGAGGAGGCTCGTGAATTTGGGATGTCTGGGGGCTTCTGCGTATGTCAGAATCACAGATAAACCATCGCAGGGAACCAGAGTATGTTAGAGAACCACCTCCATGAACAACTGAAGCTAAAAATCACCTGGAATTTAAAATAGGCATGCTGAAGAAACAAAACTAATAAAAAAGTGGAAAAGGATCTGAAATCGGGAAAATGAAGGTTCCTAGGAGGTGAACAGGTTACAGAAAGATGTTAGATTCATTTCCAGAAAAGAAGTGGAAGGTCTGTGAATCTCAGCTATAATAATTAAATGACGAAGGCGAAGAAAAGGGCCTACCAGAAATCCTTCACAAAAAGAGAGGACAATTTGGGAGAAAATGGGGAAGTGTGCAGGGCATGAGCGCTAGAACTATCAAAAGCTGAAGAGAAACGTGTGTGAGGCAGTTCAGAAGATTCCAGTAATATCCTATCACTGGATAAAGCACTGCCTTAGAACAGGCCAAAGAGAGCAAATGACCAAAACCGGAAAAAAGAAAGTAGAAAAAAGCAGGCAGCAACAGTCCTGACTGATGACTGTGTTGCGGAATGATGCCCAAGACAGACATGTGCTAGACAGAACAAAGGAAACAGTCAGTAAAAGATCAACTGCTTCCTAAGTGCCAAAATAAAGCAGGCAATGAGAAGGGTGAAGTACATGCTGGAGACTACATGAGTATTCCTAACTGATACCCATCTATCAACAACTGATCTAAGTGGAATAAGATACAATAAAAAGACTAAGGCAAAGCAAGTGATATCAGAAGCCCTTAGAGGTGCTTACAATCAGAAAGATGAATAGGGAAACATATGCTGGAGACAAGTTACCAAGTGTCCTGCTAGTGAATAGCAGGGATGTGTAGTCACAGCATACTGGAGCCTGCTATGAGGGTACTAATAAAATGTTCAACTATGATGTCTCTTTGAAGTCCCCGAGACTAAAGTTGTAAGAGAAGAGCAGCTAGGCTTCAAAGTATGTAGGTAGGAGATAACTCATCAGAAAATGAATTTCTGTTACATAAGAGAAAGATACTGAAATACTGTATTATTATACAAAAGTAATAAGTTATATGATGACATCACAAATAGAATTAGAACTTTATTAACTGTTGGAGGCTCTGAATCAACACATTCACATGAATTAACACCAGTTTCTCCCAGTTGGAGACTAAGAGTAGGTAAACTGAATATAGAAAGGAAATGAAAAAGGTGCTAGGTGGAATAACATATAATGCCAATAAAGCATCAGTTATTTATTATAGAACTCCTCTCTTCCCCCAACTTGAAATAATTGTTATATTCTTTTTGTCTTTTTGCAGTTACACTCATGAGGGTCTGAGAATGAGATCTGGTATTTTTGAAAGAGCTCATTAGTTTTGAATGACTCGGTTTTGTGCCCAGCTAGGACTGAATTTTCAAAGGCTGAACTTCCACAGTCATTACTGAAATTAGCTGCTCTGCAAATCTGAACTGAGCCTTCAGCTGTGATCCCAAAAGAGAGGCCACCCAGAAGCATTTCTGCCTGGAGCATCACGCTGTAAATGGATTTAAAGCTGGGTGACCTGCCCTCAGCAGCTACCTGTCTTTCTCTAGCAACTAAAGGAGGTGGTTATGGCAATCAAACTCTTGTCTTAGATGTCTTGAGTAAGTGTGTAAGTTAGGCAAGATGAATGCAGTGACTTGCATACAGCCAAATAAGTACGTGCTGCAGAGCAGATTTTAAGAATTCCTGATTCCCGCTCCTCTGCTGAGAAATTAATTATTTTCTTCCTGAATATTCTGGTGATTTCCGGGGCTACAAACAAGTTCATATTTACAAATGTATGTATGGGAAGAAGACTCAAAGAATATTAGTCACAAGCATTGTGACAAAAGTTTGAACTGACATGGATTCTGAAAATGATTAAGTTTAACTTTTTATTGGTCCATCACAAGTTCCTTCTGTGTAATGCTTTGAGAAGAGGAGCGGAAACTAAATGCAAATATAATCTGTTGAGAATGGGTCAATCTTTCAAGATACTGCTCCAAAGCACACAAAGTTACTCGAGAAATGCGCTATCAGCTTATGCCCTAGCATTATTTCCCAGGTGCCTGTTAAGATGCACTGGGAAGGCAAACCAAGGCAGACAGGATGAATAAGTAAGATAACTACATTAGAGGAACCAGAAGAGGAGAAATGGAGTGTGTCTAACTGTGGAAAATAAACACAAGAAAGAGAAATCAGAGAGCAATAATCAAGCACACATTCCCTGACAGAGAAGGATTGGTTTATCATGTTGAAGGAAAGCACGGGTATGAAAAATGAATCATACAGGTATAAATTATTCATGTGTGAAGATGTTTTGGTCATTAAGATATTTATACCATGACTGAAGCACTTACACGGTGCTGATTTATTGGCTAGGTAATTACATAAGATATACTGATGAACCTTTGCGTGAAAAACGCTCTAGATTTTTGATTTTGTTAATCAGTTTTCTCACTTCTGAGCACTGCATCTCAATCAGTACGCAAGGCTTGATTAAACCTCCCAGAGGAAGCACTACTTTCCGCATGCTAATACATTTCTTCAGTTAGATAGCAAGGCACCTTTTCTACTCGACAGCTCTGATCACTGGCAACAAGGATATTTATTCTGAATACACTACTATGTAAAAATATGATACATAAAAAGTTTCGGATAAAATAAGCTGTGTCACCTCTGCCCCCGTAAGGTAATCATATATGAATCTCTAGGTTGAAAAAATTTGTTTTAGTGGATTTAGTTCCAATGGAAATGAAGCACGTGTGATCATATTACCTGTGTCTGTTTATACACTTCTAGATGTATGTACCTGCTTATCCATGCCTCTCCTCATCGCTTAATTGTTGAATCCAGCTCAACAACTGGTGGCTGGTGGAGGACAGAGAACCTCTCTGGGATTCCCATGGGGGAAGGCCAAAAAGTGAGCTACTTGAATTAGCAGAGAACCTACATGGGAAATGGTACTTATAAATGCCCTAAAATGGGAAAAACTTCAGTCATAGCTTCCAACCAGCAATGGCACTAAATCCATAGGAAACCTAGCTTTATTAGCTTAGGAGGCTATTTTTTTATTTCCTCCCTCTAGCCTTGTACTGCAAGGTGAAAAGTGCCAATAAACTATGAGCATGTTCCTGCAGGATCTTTGAACCCTGCTGCTACTGTGTGTGCCTTGCACCTTCTCCCTTCTCTAACTGGAAGGTTTTGGGTGCTTTGCTACTTTATCCTGAAGTCATGGCAACACTAGGTACATATAATTTTTTGAATGGTTTTAAAGAGACAAGTACGCAGGAAGGAGGCCGAAACAGATTTTGAGCTTAAAAAGCCAGCTGAAACAGTTGAAACATACAGCTCCACAAAGATTACTATTGATCTTGCCTGGATGCTGATGTATCTTCTAGCAGTAGTGCCAGTGACAAGCAAGTAGATACTTTACTCTCTCACAGTAATTTTCCTGCTGCTGAGCTTCTTCCCTATTACATGTCCACGAGCTAACAATTTTTTCACTTTAAAACTGTATAAAGAAGGCCCATGCAGCCCTCTCTGTTGTTACTGTGAATCTCAGACTGAATGCAGTAAAAAAATACAGCAAGTCTGTGCTGGTTTAGACTAGTCAATAAATGTATTGACTCAAATCCTTTAATTCTCTCAACGCAGAGTTTTAATGCATTTGTAGCAATGCATTAACAGACCTAAATGTGTCTTGCTCGTGTTATATTAGAAGCCAAGTTTTCACAGAAATAATTCCTTTTGATCAAAAGTGTCTCCTCCTGCTTCTCACATCTTTGCTGGTTCCCTTCATATAAAATCTTTGCAGCCCACAGATAGCAAGTACAGCAGCTTCTCTCATAGCTAGGAGCAGTTAATTCCTTTTGTTCATTTAGTTCCTCTCAGTACACCTGAATCTTTACCTTCTTTCTCTTTCTGTATCCCTAATTTTTAGACCCTGCACCTGTGTGTCTCATGTGCAGACTAGTCACGAAAGCATAAAAGATAATTACAGCAATGGGACACCCAGATTACATTTTCAGAGCAGTATGCTTCATTAAGCACATGTGATATGAGAGCTGGCTAACTTTCTATAGCCCTCCTAAAAGAAGAAAAAACAGCTCCTATACCTAAACCACAATTTCCAGTGCCAATATCCAAATAAAGACCGGATACATAGTCCCAAAACACTGCAAACAACACAAATAGTGCTGCACGTTTATAAATGACAGGAAACATCACAAAAAGAGGAGAGATGGCCGCAGTTTTGGCTACACCACAGTTATTTACATAATATTTGTTACGAATATGACACTGAGCACCAGCACAGGGCTATCAACATATTGCCCAAAATATAGCTTCCCTGACATGCCCTTCCTCAGAGAAAGGCTAATGATCATCTCACCATGCCATCTGCAGGTTAGAAGCCCACAGAAATGACTGCTTGTGAACTGCGTTTGCACTCCAGTCCACTCACCAGCTGTCTAAAGCTATTACAGCATATTGAGAAATTTTCTTCCCTCCTAAAAAGGCATGGTCCCCCTTCCTTGCCATCACTACTATGACCACTAAACCCATGGGATAGGAGATGGATGTGACAGTCTGCGTTTCCTGGCAATGCTCCCCCAGCCTGTTTATGCCATCCAAGTAAACCAACCAACCAACCAACACCCTCCCCTCCACAAAAACAAGCGGTACCCGGGTGTGTCACAGAGATGTATTTTGGTGAAGTTAAGGAAGACTGTTGGAGAACTCGGAAAAAACCTGAAAATATTCT